TGGCTGGGAGCGACCACTGTACTCCAGTCTGGGCGACAGAGTGAGACTCCAACTCAAAAAAAAAAAAAAAAAACACCTTTCTCCAGGCTCTGACTCTGGCAGTTCCCCCAGCCCCACCCTGAAGAGACTCTCATTTGGGCTCTATGTGCAGTGAGGCCTCAGGCACTAGGCTCCTTCACGGATTGACTGCCAGGCTCCTCTATGACTTAGAAGTCAGGTTTTGGCAGAACTGTCAGGAAGAAAACTTCTATCTTAGCCCCTTAATTACTCTTCCTGAGCAAAAGGGTGTGGGATGATACCCTAGGGCGACCTCTCCTCCTATGAACATGACCATGCCAAGTTGGCTCTTTAGGGTGGAAATGGGCTCCTGGTGTGGAAGTGGACAAAGCCAGAGGCCAGGGTCTTGGACCCAAAACAGACATCCCACTCTTGCCTCCTGGGGGCTAAACAGAGGCAGCTGGGCCACGGACACTCATGCTGGATGATTTGATCAAGGCCCTTTCCTTTTCCTCTTGACAGCTTTCCTAGTGGTCCGTGGTGTCCCCAGGAAACGTGTCCCGGGCTTTCTGGAATTGCAGAGAGCTGTACTGACCTTCCTCTCTCCTGCCAAGTAGCACTCACCTGGCTCTGTGTTCCCTGGCAGTGCCAGGCCCAGGAATGTAGGCGGCTTTCATAACGAGGGCAAGATGACCTTCTGCCAAGTCCCATGCATATCCAACCTCAGTGCAGGGACACACTAGGGCACGGAGAGCGAACATGCTCAGGGGATGGTGTCAGGGAAGCCACTCTGCCTCGCCTGCCTGCTGGACATGAATGGTCCCATTCTCGCTTTCCAGGGAGATCGAATACAAGGAACTGCAGCTGTCCCTAGACCAAGTGTCCACCTCCAAGTCCCAGGACTCCTGGAGGACCGCCTTGTCTACCTCACAAGAAACTAGGAAATTAGCTAAACCCAAAAATACGAAGGTGAAGACAAAGCTGAGAACAAACCCTTATCCCCCACAGGTAAGCCTGCAGGTGGGGGGCACAGCTGACATCGATCCTGGGGGCTGGGGACACCTGGACATGCTACGGAATGATGAGCCTCTGATCTCATAGCAGGGCTCTCCCTGGTGGTGTGGAGCAAGGCCTCAGCCACATCCTGCCCGCAGGGTAGTGACACAGCCCAGGGAAGGCTTGACATCCAGGGGGACTAGTCAAGTCCAGGAGAAAGAAGACTGAATTGGGAAGGCACAGCAGCCTGTGGGAATCCACAGAAATGTGGGTTAGAACACCAGTCCAGCGTGTTTGCATACACTTTTTTTTTTGAGTCATGGTCTCTGTTGCCCAGGCTGGAGTGTGATGGCATGATCATGTGGCTCACCACATTCTCGACCTCCCTGGCTCAGGCGATCCTCCTGCCTCAGTCTCCTGAGTAGCTGGGACTATAGGCACACGCCATCGTGCCCAGCTAATTTTTGATTTTTTTGTAAGGACGAGGGTTCGCTATACCCAGGCTGGTCTCGAACTCCTGGGCTCAAGTGATTCTCCCGCCTTGGCCTCCCAAAGTGCTGGCATTATAGGAGTGAGCCATTATGTTCGGCCTTCCGTAGTACTTTTTAAGTAAAAACTATCCCCCTCTTTTTTTCTAGAAGTTGTGTGTGAGCTCATGGAGACAGCATGTGCCCATAGTGTCTGGTGTGTTGTCACCTTGGAGTGGGAGACCTATTGCCACCCAGGGAGCAGGTTACTGGGCAGTATTTCTGTGCATCCGTCCCTAGTGGGGTCTCGCAGTGGTGGTCAGGGTAGGGGTAAGTCTAACCCTAAGATGGAATTGGGCCCCATCAGAGCAGATCTGAGGAGCTGGAAGGCGGCTTCCCACCACCCCCTGGCTGGCCCCTCATCCATCTTCTTTGCCATGCAGCAATACAGCTCTTTCCAAATGGACAAACTGGAATGCGGCCAGCTTGGAAACTGGAGAGCCAGTCCCCCCGTGAGCGCTCCGGCTCCCCCAGACCCACAGCTCCATTCAGAAAGCAGCGAATTCCTGTACGCGCCATCGTATGGCCTGCCCTTCTCCTACCATTACGGACACTTCCCTCTGGACTCTCACGTCTTCAGCAGCAAAAAGCCAGTGCTGCCGGCCAAGTTCGGGCAGCCCCAAGGATCCCCTTGTGAGGTGGCACGCTTTTTCCTGAGCACGCTGCCAGCCAGCGGCGAGTGCCAGTGGCATTATGCCAACCCCCTAGTGCCTAGCAGCCCATCTCCGGCTAAAAACCCTTCCGAGCCACCAGCGAACACTGCTCGGCACAGTCTCGTGCCAAACTACGAAGGTGGGTCAGGTTTGCCTGCGGGGAAGGGAGGAGGATGAGGATGGGGAACAGCAGGGGGCGTGGCGGCCGTGGCAGAGGGTGGCAGATGGAAAAAGAATCGTCAGGTCTCTGGCAAACTTTTCCTTCTGCTTCTAAGTAGAACTTGCTTTGCTTTGCTGTGTTCAGTGTGAGTGCTTCCCGAGAGTGAGAGAAACAGTCTATGTGCCTTGGGGATACCAGTGATAGCACAAAGGGCAAAGGAAACCCCAGTATGCAGCCTTCATGTATATCCTGACCTCGTTCACTCCCCAAAAGGAGACAGTGATTTTCAAACCCAGCTCCCATGTGCTGAGAAGGCCCCGGCTGTATTTATTTTACAAGATACCTTTCCATTCTGCCCAGAAATTAGCATGAAAGACAAGCTTGCCTATTGGCTTCCTTCCCATGCCAGCTTTGAAAACAATGGTGGAAATTCATGGGCTCAGGGACAGAAATGCCACTTACGAACCCAGGGCAAATAACACGAACATTTCAGGCCTCCGTTTCTTCATCTATAAAATGGAATCATAAACTGTGTCATATGCCTGGCCCAGGACTTGGCACACAGTAGGGACATGCTAGTTCAACAATAACAGGTAAAATAGACTTTTTGCCTTCTCTTCCTGGTGGCAGGCAAGCTGGTGTCCTCCATGGGAGTGCCACCAGCTAACCAGGACACAGACAGACTCTTGTTTGTTCATTAGAACAACCCCAGGCAGAGGCTGGAAAGTGGAGATTGAGGGTCAGCTACAGGAGACTTATACCTGTTTTAGCCAGACCTAACTGCCACTGGGTATAGACTAAGTTGGTCCAAATGTCCTGTGGGTACCACTAAAATGCAAGTGAATGCTACATCATGATGTTGTGACCCAGAAAAGAATCACACCAGCCCCTCCTGAGAAAGGAAAGCTCCCTGGTCTCCCCCCATCCCCAGGCATACAGGGCTCTGCTCCCCTTCCTCCTGTTTTTTGTGCAAATCTGGGAATCTTTCACTCTGTGTTGTGACCCAATCTTTACAAGGCTGAGAGACATTTCTTTTCCAAATCTGAGAAGAGGGAGAAATCATGGGAGAAATCTAAACTTCTTGGAAATCACTAAAACGTTTTCAAAAGTAGCCAGCTTAGAAAAAGCCATACCAGTTCTGGCTACTTGGAAGGCTGAGGCGGAAGGATCGCTGGAGCCCAGCAGGTAGAGGCTGTGGTGGCCGGGAGCGTGCCACTGCACTCCAGTCTGAGCAACAAGAGTGAGAGAGACTCCAACTCAAAAAAAAAAGCCATATCAGTGACCAGGGCTGTGCCACCCTGCCTTTTGGCCCGGGAGGAGCCACCAACCCCTTAGATTTGCATCCCCACTAACCCTTGGAGCACTAGGTCCCGCATAACCAATGATGAGATTTTGGGGGGAACATCCAAGGAAAGAAAGAGCAAAGGGTTCTGATAACAGCTGAAAATATCCACTTGACGTTGACTTGAAAGAATTCTTTCTCTTCCTGTCTGGAAGTTGACTGATACTGTGTCACACGGTATCTAGTTGTTACTGCTATTTTTAAAGTAAAAGAGGTTAACAACCACCTTATTTTTCAGACACTTGATTTTTTAAAAAATGCACCGAAGGTGCGAATTTGAGGCAGTCTGTGGTCAACTTCCCAGTCTTTTTGGTGCTAAAGGAAGACAAAGGTTGGGGGGGAGACCCCAGGGAGCTAATTGATTTCAGGCATGTGAGTAGGGGTGGTTACATCTTTAATGACGATACGGTTACTCCTTCCCCACCGAGGGATAAGCAGACACCAGGGCGGACTGGGTCACCCATCAGGAGGGCGTGGTGGCAAGACCCCAGCTGCCCACTCGGGTGGCCGCCAGCCCCGTGTGGCGGAACGTGAGGACTGAAACGTGGCCAGCGCGAAGTGAGAAGCGTGCGCTTGCAGCTCAACGACCCCACCCCAAAAGCAAACTCCCCCCATAATTCTTAGTAGCGCTTACGCATTGCCATCATACTCAGGATCGGCTGCCCTAAGACCGTCCCCTAACAGGAGTTCCAC